TCTTAAAGATCAAATGAGCCATTGTTGTGTGTACACTCTGCCTTTCCAGGCTCTGTTACTTTGCCTGGCCTGGCAGCCTAGCACCCATGCCTGCTCGCCCCTGTTTGTCCAGAACTGCCGTCTTCTCCTTGGCCTTGCTGTCTGCACAGCGGAAGGCGAATCGCCTCCAAAGAGCTTGATTCTGCCAGAGTGTGGCAGTAAAAGGGGTGAGGTCCAGGTGAGATCGACCGTGACAGTGACTCTTCCTTAACTTCGTTGCTGGAGTAAGGGGAGTCCAATGAAAGGTTGTATGTAAGGAGGAAGGGGCAGGTATAAACAAGACACATGGGATGCCAGATTAGCTAGAACCAGGGACAGGAAGTCCCTGATTCACGGTGTATTCCAGTGGTGACAGGAGAACTGTCCCTGCAAATTTCCGAGACAGCAACTGTTCATGGGAGTAGAAAGCTCCGTCTTTCTCCCTCCGTGTGGCTGGTGGTTTCCAACTGCCGACGAACCATGACCCCACCGGGGCTCCTCTGGTCGGCGTACACTTAGTAATCTGGATACACACCAAACCAGACTCATGCCACTGAGTCCGTTCTGGCCATAGCCACCCTTTAGGACAGGGTCGAATTGCCCCTGTGGGTTTCCAAGCCTGTAAGTCTTTACGGGAGTACAGAGCCTCATCTTCCTCCCAGTACTACATATGATATTAAAATACACCTGTAAGTTTATTGTAATGCTTCCAATCCCTGAAGAGGAATGTTGAATTTGTACAACTGAATACAATGAAAAGCAATAGTAATCAAAGAACGAGATGTTCAACTCAGGCCAGAGCCTCCTGCGCTGGACTTGGTGGATCCGCCTTGGCCCGAGGTGTTCCCAGCCCAGCAGCTTCTTCCTTCTTCCTGTTCAAGGGGCAGGGTGGGTGTGGGAGTACCGGGCCCTGGATGGTTGACAGCTGTGCCCTCCCCGTGTTATTCCTGTGAGGGGGATTGGGAGTGTGCGGGAGCCTCTGACTACGTGGGACATAGCCTCTCTGGGGGTTAGGGCACCTCTGGCGACCATTGCAAGGTACCTCGTTGGGAGAAGGCCAGCTGCTTCTCGCCGTCCTTGGGCTCCTTTCTGGTGAGCACATGTTCATCTTCCACATGCACTGGGCGGATGGACTTCTGTTTGTTTTCCAGCTCACAGCTCGTGCCCAGGTGGTCTCCCAGTGCCACCCTCCCCTGAGTGGGCTGTCGACCTGCTGCCCGGTGGCAGTATCTGTGGAGGGCGGCTTGCTTCTCTGGACCTTCTTCACTTATGGACTGGTGAGTGGTCTGGGCAGAACCAGCCTGCTGTGGGTGGTATGAGGGGTGTATGTGTCCATGTGTCCATAGACGGAGGGCCATCTGACCAGGGGAAAGGTACTTGTGACAGGAGCCCCTGGACGTACAGACACAGTTGACATGCTTGGCTGCTCACCAAATGATGGGGGTGGGTGGGTGGTGGTGTTTCAAGTCTACCCAGGGGCACCCACCCCGAACCTGCTGGTGGGGTGGCGGGGGGCTGGAGGCCAGCACTGCCTGTGCCATCTGTGCTCCTCGGCCGCCCACCCGCAGGTGAGCAATGGCAGGCGCTGGTCAGCGCAAAGGCAAGAAGGAGGACAACGGCATCGGCACGGCCATCGACTTCGTGCTCTCCAATGCCCGGCTGGTGCTGGGGGTGGGCGGCGCAGCCATGCTGGGCATTGCCACGCTAGCCGTGAAACGGGTAAGTGCTCTGCCAGAGCAGGGCAGGGGAGGGAGGGATGGTGGCTGGTGCTGGGCCTTGGCATGAGTAAAGGGGACTCTAAGAGCATCCCTGCTTTTGGGGCGCTCCCTGAAGAAACAGCTGGAGAGAGACTCTTGTCCCAGGGAGTGATCTGAAAACTGCCACTAACCTGCATGTCCTTCTTTGGGTCGCTTCTCACGCCAGCTGTGGAGCAGCTTCTCTTTCTCCATCCCTGGCTGCCCACAGCTAGGTCACGTGTCCCGCCCTCTGAGTTGAGAGGAGATTGTGGGTCTGTCTGCCAGATAAGGCAGCTGGCTGCCAGCCCCACACTCCAAGTCCCCTGGCCTCCAGACTTCTATAACTCCTGACACATCTGAGGTTTCCTCCTGCCCTTTCAAAATGCCAGCCGCATACTTGGGAGTGCCCCCAGTGCCCTCCCTTCAGATGCCGGCTTCGCTGCTCCTGGGGTTCGGTAACTCCTGGCCTGCCTCAATCATCACAGCGCAGTGGCAGGCCACACTCCCCACACCTGTGCTGCCACATTTCAGCCTGGATGCCCTTCACCAGCCCAGAAGGTCCTGATGTGTCCTGTCCAGAGCCTGTGAGACTTGATCATGGGATTAGTTACATACAGAAATCAATATTGATTTGCTCAGCCCCCTCCTTCCTCTGAGATCAGCTGATATCAAGCCAAGTGGGGGGTTTTCTGGTCAGGCCTGTCATTACCATAAACCTTCCTGGATGGTTTCCATAACAAATCCGTTGTTCTGGCCAGCCCTGAGGGGTACAGTAGAACTGGGCCTGTCCAGACCCCCAGTGTCCAAGGCTGTTTGCGGAGGCAGACTGGCTCTTGTCCCATGACTGGTGGTTCCAAAGGTTGGCCATGAGGGCTCCGTCAGATTGTAGAAGCAGTGAAGATAAGGGCCCACTCCTTGGCAGCCCTCCACCACCCCCACTCTTAAACACACACACACTCTCTCTCTCTCTTTCTCTCTCTCTCTCCCTCTGTCCCTCCCTCTCTCCCTATTTCCTTCTCCTGCTTCATTTCCATGAGTACTTGTCTCCTAAGAACAGTTGTGAGGCTGGCACAGGACTGGGCTGTGTTTCCATTCTGCCGTACACAGGATCTCTGAGTCAGCGGCCCCTGACATCTCTGTCTGCTACTTCTCTTGCTCGTTGCTGCCTTTCTCCCCACCCCCTACCCCCACCCTTGACCGATAGTCCCATCAGGGCACTCACTGGTTTATTCTTAGCACTCTACACAATGGCTGCCCCCCAGTGGCCATCCCTGAGCTTTTCTTGACTAAATGAATCCATGTCTAATTAATATCATGGCATGTTCATAAGGTGCGATGCTGTCTAGTTCGAACAATGTGGACTGATTCGTAGTGATGTGGAAAAATATGATCCAGATGATGTTAGATTTAACACCACCACCCACAAAAATCTGGTTTGAAAAGCGCAGCTAGAGGATGGCCCTGGTTACATAAGCATTCATTCCCAGAGAGCAGCAACCCCAACCCAGCTCTGCTGTGGGGTCCCTTTCAACTCAGCCAGGTTCAGTGATAGGACAGAGCAGGGCTGCCCAGGGGTTTTCTGAGGCTGACTTTTGACAGGAGTAGAAAGCTGCCTCTTTCTCCTGCAGGGTGGATGGTGCTTCTGAACTGCTGACCTTGCCGTTAGCTGCTCAGCACATAACCCACTCACTACACTACTTGGTCTCACGGAGGAAAAATACAACATGTCAACAACAGTCCTCTGCATTCTGGTCGGGGGTACATGTGTATCTCTTCTATGTTGTTCAGTATCTTTGACTCCCAGACAACCTCTACCCCCACCCCCCTCCCCCAGAGAAGCCAGGGTTAGCAGAAAGTGGGCCGGGGATGTTGGGTTTCCTGGTACCTGAAACAGTTATGTTCACATTGCCCTGTGGCCTATTCAGGGGGCCCTGGTGGCAGAGGAGGCTTGGCACTGGGCTGCTCACCCCAAAGTCAGCAGTTCGAACTCACTGGGCCCACTTCAGGTGAGAGATGGGGCTGTCTGCTCCCGTCAAGACTTCCCGCCTCAAACCCTGCATAGGGAACTGCGTGGAACCCACCTCCCAGGCCATGGGCTGGGTTTGTGGTCCAGTACGTGTGCAGTCTCGTGGGAGAAGGCGAGTAAAGTGCCACAGGGGGACAGGCTGAGCACACGCTGCTGGAAAGATGGCGCCAGGAGATGAGTGGCGTGTGGGGTCCCCGCAGACCCTCAGCGTGTGGGCTACTCCCTATAGTGGGCCTGGGGGTGCAAGGAGGAGCCGCAGTGGTCTCAGAGCTGTAGCTGGACTTGTCGCGGTGGGAGGAAGGTGCGTGCATGCCCCGTGTCCCTCTGCTGTGCAGATGTACGACCGCGCCATCAGCGCCCCCACCAGCCCCACGCGCCTGAACCATGCCGGGAAGAGGAGCTGGGAAGAGCCAAACTGGATGGGCTCCCCCCGCCTGCTGAACAAGGACATGAAGACAGGCCTTAGCCGCTCCCTGCAGACCCTGCCCACGGACTCCTCGGCCTATGCTGTAGGTAAGATAGGCCCGGAGGCTTCTCGGCACAGCTCCTGCTTCCGACAAGCACTCCAGGCCAGCACCTGCCTGCTGCGCCCAGGCCCTCGCCTTCCTGGGGCTGCGGTGGCTGGGGACCAAGCCTGCCCGCCGCCCGCCACACAGAGCTCACGCGCCTCTCTCTCTTGCCTTGGCAGATGCGTTCTGCCCACCCCGGTCCAAGCCACTGGCCAGGAAGGGCCAGGTAGACTTGAAGAAGTCACGGCTCCGCATGTCCCTGCAGGAGAAACTGCTGACTTACTACCGGACCCGGGCGGCCATCCCTGCCGGCGAGCAGGCCCGGGCCAAGCAGGCTGCCGTGGACATATGTGCTGAGCTTCGGAGCTTCCTGCGGGCCAAGTTACCTGACATGCCCCTCCGGGACATGTACCTGAGCGGCAGCCTGTATGATGACCTACAGGTATGGCGGCTCCGTGATGGGTGGGCCGGGTGCTGGCCCCGGCACCCCTCGCAGGCGCTGCAGAGTGTGTGGACCCCCCTTGGCACGGTCTGTGGTCTGCTGCATTCTGGATTGTCGCGCACATGGCATGTGGAGACCCATGCTTGCTGCTACGCTTTGTTCTTGTGTCAGCTCTAACTCCCTTTTGCTTGTTTGTGGGGGTGGGGCAGGGGTGGGTCATACTCAGCTCTTTTAAGAATGTGGGCGAATCTCCTCCCCATATTCCTCCCCTGCGTTTCCTCTTGGGTCCATGTGCCCTTCCCGGCCCAGAGCCGGTGAGGGTGGCGCCCGTGCTCAGGTGGGTTGGCACAGTGGGAGTGAAGATGGAGGGACTGAGTCTGGGGACGCAGGTCTGTGCAGCATACTGAAGCAGGGTCCTCCCGCCCGGCAGGTGGTGACCGCCGACCACATCCAGCTCATCGTGCCCCTGGTGCTGGAGCAGAACCTGTGGTCCTGTGTCCCCGGTGAGGACACCATCATGAATGTCCCTGGCTTCTTCCTGGTTCGCCGGGAGAACCCCGAGTACTTCCCTCGCGGCAGCAGTTACTGGGACCGCTGTGTCGTGGGGGGCTACCTCTCTCCAAAGACGGTGGCCGACACCTTTGAGAAGGTCGTGGCTGGCTCCATCAACTGGCCAGCCATAGGGTCTCTCTTGGACTACGTGATCCGGCCGGCGCCACCCCCGGAGGCCCTGACCCTGGAAGTGCAGTACGAGCGTGACAAACACCTCGTCATTGACTTCCTGCCCTCAGTGACCCTCGGGGACACTGTCTTGGTGGCCCGACCACATCGACTAGCCCAGTACGACAACCTGTGGCGGCTGAGCCTGCGTCCTGCTGAGACGGCGCGCCTGCGGGCCCTGGACCAGGCTGACTCGGGCTGCCGCTCCCTGTGCCTCAAGATCCTCAAGGCCGTATGCAAGTCCACGCCTGCGCTGGGCCACCTCACTGCCAGCCAGCTCACCAACATCATCCTCCACCTGGCCCAGGAGGAGGCGGACTGGTGCCCGGACGTCCTGGCCGACCGGTTCCTGCAGGCCCTGCGAGGGCTCATCAGCTACCTGGAGGCCGGGGTCCTGCCCAGTGTCCTAAACCCCAAGGTGAACTTGTTCGCTGAGCTCACCCCGGAGGAAATCGACGGGCTGGGCTACACGCTCTACTGCTCACTCTCGGAGCCGGAGCTGCTGCTGCAGACGTAGGGCAGGCGGGGCCAGAGTGGGCTCTGGGTGGTCAGGCCGGGGCTCTCCCTAAAGACACGCGTGGCCACGTCGTCAGTGCCTCACATGGTCCTGGGTGCCTCCTGCCCCGCCCCGGTGCCGTCTTGCTGATTGGAATCACATCCCTCCAGTCTCCTTTTTCTGCACCCAATACTTTATATTTTTGTTACCAAACACTGTGCCGTGCCCCCCGACCCTGCCGCACCCCCCAGCATACATTTTCAGAATGAATTGGAGGGTGGAACCTGGCCCATGCTGGCGTTTCCTGCTACGGGCCCAGGCTCCCGTCTGCCCTTGTGCTCTGGGTCCGCTCCCCAGTCTCTCTCCTCAGTGGCCTGTTCACTGCGGTGCCTCCTGGGGCCTCTCCGGGCGCATCGCCAACTTCACCGAGCTGGTGGTTTTCCCAGCAGAGTCTCCTGTGGGTGCTGAGGCAGCACTGAGGGCCTGGGGGGTCAGGCCAGTGTTGGCATCTGGAGAAGCAGCCCCCTGCCCACCTCCTGACCCACCCACTGGCTCCTGGGAGTGTTACCCTTGGCCACAGGGAAGTGGAGGCTCAAGATCAGTTGGGTGCAGAGTTATCTGGAGGCACTTGCCCTGGGGGCATCAGTAGGAGGGCAGGTGGTATGCAGGGTCTGTGCCTCGTGTCTGTCACATCTGGGCCAGCACTGCTGTGCACTGCATGGCAGTGGGGCTGCCAGGGTAGCACCACACCACACATGCTGCTATAAAAGGCAGGCAGGCCCAGTCCCAGAGGCTGAAGAGAGGCCAGTAGGGAGCGGGCTGGGAGCTAGAGTCTGGTTCCCAGCTGGGGTGCCTGGGCCAGGCCTCCCCTGACAGCTCTGCCTTTCTGGGATGTTGCCTTCGAGCAAAAATAGGCCTGTGTCTGCCATAGGAATAAGCAGCCACCAAAGGCCAGGAAGCCAAACCCCAGCGGGTGGGCCTCCATCCCTGTGGCTGCCTCACCCCCACCTGGGAGACTGGTGCTGGTGAGGAAGGAGGGTGGGCACCTCTTCTCCCCACTGCTGCAGCTGCGCTGTCCCTGCACTGTCCCTGCCCTGGACTGGGGGGGCAGGTTCCCTGCGCCTTGTCCTGGAGAGGTTTTCCCCGTCTGGCAAGAGGCTGATCAGTTCTGCTTCTCTCATCTGCCTGTCAGTATTTTGTTCTCTCATGGGGTCTAGCTTTTACCTTCTCTTCCTGCTACCTCTCCAGGAGCAAGATGCTGGTGACGTGCTCTGCAGCTGTCCCCTCCCCAACGACAGTGACACGGGATGACTCCACATGGCTTTGAGGCCTCGGCTTGAGGGAGAGTAGAGAATCTGCTGCCCTCTTGGCCCTAGGCCTGGGGTCACCCTTGTTCCTCCTGCCTTCCTCCCATCGATAGGAGGCAAGGGTCCCTTACAGCCAACCGTTGTTTTGTCTGTCTGAGGAATTGACTGAGAGCATGCTCAGGCCCGGAACCTGGGCTGCTCAGAATAAAATGGCAGGTGAAAACAGTAAGTGTGCTGGGTGTGCGTTTGTGTGCAGTGGGTGTGACGGGTGGCCTCGTGGCTGGCAGCAGCAGTGTTTCTGCTCGGTCTTGGCCCAGCCCACATAGGGACAGCTTTTCCCTGATACCCAGATGCGGGATCCCTTTCTCCCAGAGGGAGGGGAACATGGCCTCCTCCAAAGCATGGGAAGAAAATAAAACTCCCAACGGCTTTGTGTGTGTGAGAAAAACATCCTCCTGTGGAAGTGGTCGGTCCTGGGGCTCCGTTCTGGGGATGAGAACCTTCAAAGGACCTGATGTAGGTCCCCAGAGCACGAAGGGTGGGGCAAGTTGCCACTTGAGTCATTCCTTGGGGCCTTGCCATCCGGGACCTCATGTCACCCCAGAGGAAGGCTTATGAAGTGGCTTCTGGCCTCTGGGCAGGACAAGACAGCTGTGCCCTGCAGCATTGGCTCCCTGAGGGGAAAGGAAGGCCAGCAGCCAATCTCCAAGCCTTCAGTAAGGATGTCCCCAGCGGGAGCGGTGGTGCCATAGGGCAGAGGGCCTGGGCGGTCAGGAAAAGTCTGATGACGTGAGAATAACAAGAGAGCAGTTGCTGTGAACTACCCGAAGATGGTTGTGCACGAAACCTCTAACTGCTAGGTCAGTAGTTCAAAACCACCAACCACTTCTCGGAGGAAAGATGAGGCTGTCTACTGTAAAGAGTTAGTCTTGGAAACCCACAGGCAGTTCTCTGCCCTATAGGATCACCGTGAGTCAGAACTGACTGGACAGCAGTGAGTCTGGGTGGCTGGCCATGAACCAGGTCCTGAGCGAAGCACTTACCTTGCTTTGCCTAGTGCTAACCAGTTGGTTCGGAGTCAGCGGCTGCTGGACGCTTTCTGTGGCCGTACATCTTTTTGGAGCCGACTGCTTCACCTTTCTCTTGCCGAGTGGCTATTGGATCTGAACACGACCTCATTCCATTGTGGACAGCATCATTAGCCTCGTTTAGTAGATGAGGAAAGTGAGCCTCAGAGGTAAGATCGTGTGACTTAAATGTTCGTTAGTGAAATGGTGAGCCAGTGTTCTTTGAAGTTCGGGCCCCAAATCAGCCCTCCAGCCCCACCCTGGAGGCCCTGGGTGCTATGTGAAACGGAGAGATTCAACCCTCATGCTGCCAACCCCCAAACAAACACGTGCCTCTGGAGAAAGGCAAGCTGACAACCTCTTCTGCCTCCATGCTGCCTTTAGGGGGAGCTGTGTGACGGGGCTCCCTGCCCCATCCCAATAGGCCTCAATTTACCACGGTAAGAAATTGGGTAAGATTAAACCCCATCAACAAATGAGCTGTAGGACAGTGCTTCCCAAGTCTTCTGACGTCGCAGCCCTCAGAGAAATGTGTGGCCTGTGTGCTGACCAAGGCTGCTTCTGGCCAGGCTGGGGTTTCAAAGGCGCTTACAGGATGGTGATGCCATTCCCTAGCCGAACTCAGCAGGTGGGCCCGGCTCCCTGGCTCCTCGGCTACCCAAGCCATTAGGATGACTAAGTGGGAAATTGGCTATGTGTAGGGATTACAGAACTGGGAATTAATTGAAATTACCCTAGAGTGATGGATGCCGGTTGAAAATTCTCCCCATGTTCTGCTGGGAATGGAAGAAATCCCCAACAGACTGTACACTTTAATCAGAGTAGCAAACATAGGTTTAGCAGAGTGGATATTGTAAAAATTCAGGTTGGGCCATAAGGTGATATGCATCTTTCTTGCCTGGGCTTTACAGGGTCAGAGTGAGGACTCCAGGCTGGCCTTTGATAGTAGGGGCCATAAACCAGCTGACCAGCGGCATCCCAAGATAAGTGCCCCTGAACTCCCGGGTGACCATAGAACCTGGAGGAGAGGCAGGCACACTGGTGGGACACAAGCTATGGGAGCGCTGGCACGTCGTGGACACGCACATGATGCCACTGTCCTTCGGATCGGATCTTTTCAGCCCAAGGAGAACCAGCCAGGGGAGAAATTCATGTTTATTGCTTCAAAGCACTACTAGACGTATAAGCTGTTTGCTACTTTCTGTCCAATAGGAACACCTTGCAGGACAATTTCATTAACTAGTGTCCCAAGTGGACAGTCGGCCACCCAGGATGCTCAGGAACGTCGAGGGCCTTTCCTAGTGGGAAGTCAGCCTCATCAGTACAAATGCAAGAACAGGATGGACAGAGGAACCTGGGGACACTGGCTGGCTGGGTGCTAGGTTCGCGGTGTCAGGGAGGAAGGGAAGGGGGCAGGCCCTGAGGGCAGTTTGGGGCGTACTGGGCTGGAGCTGCCTAGAGACGGGGGTCAGCGTAGTGGGCCAGCTGTGCCAAGGAGGTCACTCCAGCGGTTGCATCCCAGAGACAGGGCAGCGGAGGCAGGGAAGCGCGCCGACAGCGCCGCCGCTTCCCGCGCTAGCTCGGGCTCCCCGGAGCAGCCGGCCACACCTGGGGCTCTAAGCCAGTGGGGGTGTGGAGACGTGTGACTCCCCAGGTCAGGGCCAACCAGCATCCGCGCTCCCCACCAGCATCTCCCGGGAAAACCAGGCGGCCACGGACTAAACACTAAAAACTACTTGGGAGGGCTGGAGGCAGAGCGGCTACGCGTTGTGCTAACCATAAGGTCAACAGTTCGAAACCACCTGCTGCTGCTCCGTGGGAGAAAGATGAGGCTTTCTACTCCCATAAAGATTCCCAGTCTTGGAAACCCACAGGTGCATCCCTACTCCGTCTGAAAAGAGCGCTCTGAGCGGGAATCGACTCGATGGCAGCAGTGATCTTAGTGTAAGTTTCGAAGACCTTCTCCCGCTCTCTCCGCGCGCGCGCGCGCGTTCACCAAGGCGCGCAGCCCAGGGATCCTTCCGCGCGCCCCCGCGCAGAGGGAGGGAGGGAGGGGCGTGACGAATCTCTGAAGGTCCGGAAAGTAGTGCGCTCTTTGCTTTCGGTGAGTCCTTGAAAATAACCCACCTTTTCCAAATGACACCCTGGACGTAAAGGCCGGGGGCGGGACGCCGGGGCATCAGCTGGCGGACCCTGGAGGCGGGCGGCGGGGAGTCACGTGGTATCGGCGAGAGGGGGGAGTCACGTGGCGTCGGCGGAGGGATACACCGCGGCGGCATACACCGACTCTATAAATAGCGCGTCTCGGCGCCGCGGCCATTTCTTCGCCGGCTCTTTGATGTAGACT